GATATTAATTAGAAGTGGGGGTTTTCAGTGTGCTAAGTATGACAGCCATGACTATTTAGTCCTTGAGATAGAAGTTGATTTTACCTATTTTGCTCCTTCCAGATAAGTCTTTCTCTTTTTTCTTTTTTCTTTTGTAAGAGACAGGGTCTTGCTCTGTTGCCTAGGCTGGAGTGCAAGGGTGTAATCATACCTCATTGTAACCTCAAACTGCTGTGCTCAATTGATCCTATCACCTTGGCTTCCCAAATAGTTAGGACTATAGGCACACACCACCACACCTAGCTAATTTGAAAATATTTCTGTAGAGGCAGGGTCTTGCTATGTTGCCTAGGCTGGTCTCAAACTCCTGGGTTCAAGTGATCCTCCCTCCTCGACCTCCCAAAGTGCTGGGATTATAGGTGTGAGCCACCACACCCAACTCCTTATAAGTCTTAAACCAGCTTCAACACCTTTGAGTAAGATTTTTTTTTTTTCAGGGAGAGAAACATCTGTAAGTAAAATTAATATATGCCTGTATGATTGTTTTATATTTATAAATTAAAACATTTTTTAATCTCAACTTATAAAATATGGATGGTTTCACCATATCAAAGATTATATAAAATTGTTTTATTTATAGAATGAAGATTATATATGTGAAAAATTATATTTAAAAGAATCAGCATTAGACTTTGAGTTTTGTATTTGGCATACACAGAATGTTGAAAAACATAGTTGAAATCAGTGAGATGGCAGCATTATTTTCTAACATTATATTTGAACAGAATACATTCCTTTGCCTTTCAGATCAATAATGTCTAGCTGTACATCCAACAAGTAAATTAGGAACTTAAATTCCTACAAAGAAGTAATATTTACTAGCTGAATTTTGGAAGAAAGTATGCAATGCGGGATTTTATCCTGGAAAGACTTCCTCCAAAGGAACTTCACAGAGTGGCATTTTTGGTGAATTACCATTGATCAGTGTCCATTTTTCAACCTCAAAGATGTAGAAAAAAGATCCATAGATGGAGCAGACCTTTAGGGACAAAGTAGGAATAATAAAATTGACCCAAAACTGAGGTGTAAACTAAAATGCTTATTTGTTTACCAAAGGGACTATGTCTTTATAGTGATTGAAGTGCTAGGTCCCTCCTTTCTGAGAATTGAATAGTCCAGAAAAACAGATTGATAGTTAAATGATCATTTATGAACATAAAAATAGAGCCAGGGAAAGTGTATTATTTTGAGGATTGCCTTAGCCATGGTCCTAATGAGACCTCATGAACGAACTGTCTTCCACCAGAAAAATTCCTCAGAATGCTTTTGGGCGTTAGTCTTGTGGTTATACTTCCTAGAAGTATACTAACTGTAGTAAGGAGAGAGTTGTAATGCCTCCCCTTTACAAACCAGGGGAAGAGTGAGCAGAGGGAATGTGGAAGAGAAGAATGGTAAGGAAATACTTGGCACGGGAGCCCTTTCAGGTAGATCAGTTCAGTAAAGAATGCATTTATCTCAAGTTGAGGAGCTGGAAATTGAGTCACTTAAAATGATCTATACCTCCATGTCCTCTTAAAGGTGTTTGTGTATCCTAGAGCCCACATATATACATTCCTTAGTTTGAGGAATTATGGCGTTTGTTTGTATCTTTGTAGATAATGGCTTACTTTCTTTGGATTTTCATTCATGAAATAGATACTTATGCAATTGCCTACTAGAATACTTTGTTTTATATCTGATTTCCAGTTGCTTGATAAATATATGGATTGAATTGAATATTTGTTGAATGTGCCTGTTAAATGGATTTCCAAGCTAGTTTCTTCCATAATTTTTGTAGTTAAATGGACTTCATATGTCTTGCCATGAGACCTATTTGAAATATTCTTTTGGTAAAAAGATGCCATCTGAGTAGAAATTGGTACAGATAACATTTTTAAAAATGGGCAAGGATCTTCCTGTGATTGGGTGAAAAAGATAGCCATATTTAAACACTATTCCTCTTTCCCATAAAGAGTGCTCTTATGTTTCAAAAGAATTTCAAAGAAAAATGTGATTATTCCTTCAGGTATATAAATATATTTTCTGTCAATTTCAGAAAAAAATGTAGTAATCTAAAGAAGAGACTTTCTGTTTTGTGCTAGAGATTACATGGGACGTCCTTTAAGGTAGCATCATAAAGATAACTCACAGTCATCTATAGGTAATTAAATATGATAATTTTTAGATGCACATTCAACAAAGAGGAAAAAAGATAACTGAGTAAAAAATCAAGAAAGGAAAATAAAGATGTGAAAAGACGTTTATTAAAGGCTGTACTGTGTTTCATAATGATTGGATTCATTTGCATGTTATTTTATTTCAGATAAGCATGGATACAGTGGGCAATATAGACTATGGAAGACTGTATTGAGCTCTTAGAGAACTGTAGAGAGAGAATTTAATTTACACATTGTACATGGTTTTGTTAGGGGTGGAAATAGGGAATGATGTTGCTCCAGCTGTTTCTTCATTTTGGCCACTAGGTGGTGACATTGTATAAAGACAGCTTGGTTGTGGAGGTTAAGATACTCAAAATTTGGTGTGGGACTGGATATCTATAATTTTTTAATATTCATCATTCAGCCTTGTGACACATTTTTGGTGATTTTATTGGGCTTCTCTTTTTAATATTTATATGTGTACACTATCCTGAAGTATTTTGTTAATATCTCTGTGCCTAGCATATTTAGTGATAAACTGTATATGATAAACAGATACTTAGATAACCAAATGCCACCTGCCCTCCAAAGAATTCACAAAGCAAAACAAACTAATTGTTACATTTGATGTGTCTAAGAAACATAGTTAAGATATATTAAATGAAACAAATTTATGTATGTTTATACTTAAATTTGTTTCATTTACTGTTTGTTTTTGAGTTGGAATCTTGCTGTCACTGGGCTGAAGTGCAGTGCCGCGATCTTGGCTCACTGCAATCTCTGCCTTCTGGTTTCAAGCAATTTGCCTTCCTCAGCCTCCCGAGTAGCTGGGATTACAGGTGCTTGTCACCACTCCTGGCTAACTTTTAGTAGAGTCAGAATTTCACCATGTTGGCCAGGATGGTCTCTATCTCCTGACCTCGTGATCCGCCTGCCTTGGTCTCCCAAAGTGCTGGGATTACAGGCGTGAACCACTGTGCCCAGCCTGTGTTTGCTTTTTTTATTTTTTTTATACTGCTTATAGCATAGGTATACATAAAGAGGGGCCACTCCAAAAGCCTTTTCATCTGTGAATAACCGTTATATATTACTGTGTATGGGTAACCCACATGTCAAGGATCCTTCTGTGCCCTACCACCAACTTCCCATTATTTTCTAATTCAAAAACAATTGGTGACTAGCATTGTAGTATTCCTATGAGTTAAAAAGACTCAGTCCCTTCTATAACGGTTGAGGTTGGTGCCTCTTGAATTAGTGGGTTCTCTGTTACTGGATTAGAAGAAAGTAGGTCCCTATTAACCTTAAATTGAGTCTCTGAAGGCATTCTTTCATAGACATGGTGTTTTTAATGGTGGTTAAATATAGCTAAAGTGGTATTATATGCAGCCCTACTTTTTAAAATCAGAATTCTCTTTTCTGGGGTTTGGCCTCACTTCTTATTTTCTTTACAGAATTAAGTAATTGAAAAAGCATTTTCTCTTCTGTACAACAGGACCTTTTCAAGTGACCATATAGTCCTATTAAACATGATTTCTTACTTAAAACCTACCTCATTTTCTCTAGCAGGAAGCAAGTTGTTTCTGCTCTGTTCTCTTATAGTCCTTTCTAAGGATCCAACTTTTACCTTATGCTGATCGTGTATAAATTTTTGTTGTCCCAGCTATACTGCTTGTGTCTTAAAGGCAAACTTTCTGGCTTAGCCTTGTATCTGTTATCAACAAATTCTTGTCCAATGCCTTACATGTAGTAGGTGCTCAATAAAATACTTCAGATGCTTAAGGAACACTTAGATGGCTGATGCCAAAGTAGTATGTTTTAAGATAATTAGCTATGACTGGAAATAACTTTCTTTATAGCACAAGATGTTTAGATTGGCTTTTAAGATAGAAGAACTCCTATGGCCAGGTGTTTTGCTTTCTGATGAATGGATGCTATGGCATTGCAGTTTATAAAACACAATAGTTTGATTTTTGGAACTCAAAATGCATTCCTTTATATTTTATAAAATTCAGTACACATATGTGGCAGTTTCGTTGTTAGTATTCTAAATTAGTGATCTTTATGGGAGTCACGGATTCTTTTAAGAATCTGATTGAAACAATTCTTCCCCCAATGTATGCAACACCCAGAAAAATGCACGTGCCTTACAAAGATAATTCTGTACATTATTTAGAGAGCTCATAGATTTCATGTTAAGAACTTCTGCTTCAGATTTTGGAATAGACTGCAGCTGATTAGTCAAAAGGCAGCATAATATAATAGAAAAATGTACTGTATACAAAATTAGTTGATCTAAGTGAGTTCTAGCTCTTTTTCTACCTTTGATAAATGTAGTACCATTTGGCAGGTCATTTAACCTCTCTTTTTGCCTGTTTCTTCATTTGTAAAGTGAAATTGTTGGATGAAAGATTAAGTGAATTAGCACATGCAATATACTTAGAAGAGTGCTGGGTGTGCTTCCCAGCTTTTCCTTCTAGTCTTTGATTCTACTATCTTATAAAAGATTTCTGAATTTTTAATGCCCCTCCCCCTCTTTGTCCAATTAATTTTCTTTCCTTTAAGAAAATTGCTTTCATATATATATTTAAAACTTGAATAACAATTAATTCTCTTATCCTGTAAGGCAAGTAGGAAACTAAGAACTTTAGCCTTTTCAGGAGTTAGATATATTACGTCTGCTGAAAAATTATTACCGTTCATGTAAAATGTTTTTATAAACAGATTCCGTTAACACCTATGTCAGCAGCAAACAGATTGTGTTAAAAATATGTAACTTTTATGTATTACCCAGTAAGAAAACACCTTTCTTTTTTTTTATTCTAGGGAAGAAGACAAAAATATATTTGATTACTGCAGGGAAAACAACATTGACCATATAACCAAAGCCATCAAATCGAAAAATGTGGATGTGAATGTGAAAGATGAAGAGGTATGAAAAACATGCTCCATTAACTATTTTCCTGTGCATTATTAATTATTATCCTGTGCATTGTTGTTCTGCCCCAGTGCCTTTTCCTAAATGGTAGGCCAATGAACTACAACTCAAAGTACAGTATGGTTAAGAGTATCAGAATATTTAAATCAGATGGTATTCGCTAGTTAAGATACTTTCTGTGATTATGTCCAACATATTTTTTATCTATGTTTTAGAAGTTACTACCTGAAATTTGTAGGTGTCTAATAGCTTCCATTTGTTTATGCTAAAGGGAGCGGTTATTAGCATACTAAGTGAAATCTGTAGGTAATAGGAAAATCTCATTTATAAATAGCTTTCATGTCTTCTGTTATACCTTGAACAACTAGGTATATTGCTCGATAAATATCTCTCTAGAAAACTGTCAGAGTTTTGGTAAATCAATAATTTAAATGCTGACCTACTTATTAAAGGAATCCTATAGTAAATTACTTTATAAAATGTATTACCTCTTCTTTTTTTTAAAGAGAGACAGGGTCTCTCTCTGTAGCCCAGGCTGGAGTGCAGTGGTGCGCTCATAGCTCACTGCATCCTCAAACTCATGGGCTTAAGTGGTCCCCTTGCCTCAGCCTCCCAAGTAGCCAGGACTATAGGCATGTGCCATTACTCCTGGCTAATTTTTTATTGTTTTGTAGAGATGGCCATCCAGGTTGGTTTTGGCTCTTTTTTATTTTTGTATGCTATGGCCGTCCAGGTTGGTCTTGACCTCCTGGCCTCAAATTATTCTCCTGCCTTGGCTTCCCGAAGTGTTGGGATTATAGGCATGAGCCACTGTGCCTTGCCTATTACTTCTTAATTTATTTGTGTTGTGAATAATACCATTCACATATTGAGTTTTGACTGACCCTGAATTATAGTTGTTAACAAAGGAGCAAAGTTTACTAATTCACTTATAATCATTTTCTCATTCTTTGGTGATGCAAGGTGGCAATTGTTAGGAAGAAATCATTAAGTGATCACAGATAATCTGTAGAATAGATAATAATCAACTTATATGTAATTCAAAGCTCCCTATACAGGTTAGCCCTTAATATTATCTCACCTTTAAGGAATATCTTTCCTGTGATGATATTGTCAATGGCATCTGGAATTGAAAATGTAAGACTGTGATACTGCACAAACGGACTAGTAATACTGTGTGTTTTTAACTAAGTAGTGAAACAAACAGAGCTAAAAGATGTGGATAGGGAAAAACCAGAAGTCAAATTGTGAAAAAATAATACCAGGTCTTCTTACTCTAATTAGGGTTCTTTTTCCTTTTCCTTTTTCTTTTATTTTTTATTTTTTGGCCTTTCAGGGTCAGAATACAAGCATACCTCTGAAATATTGCATATTCAGTTCCAGACCACTGCAATAAAGTGACTATCATAATAAAGCAAGTCACGTGAGATTTTTGGTTTTCCAACGCATATAAAAGTTACACTATACTATAGTTTATTAAGTGTAGAGTAGTATTATATCTTTTAAAAAGTACATACCTTAATTTAAAATAGTTATTAATAAAAAATTCTGACAATCATCTGACTTGCCTTCAGCAAGTCATAGTTTTTTTTGCTGGTGAAAGGTCCTGCCTCAGTGTTGATGGCTGCTGACTGATCACAGTCATGGTCACTGAAGACTGGGGTGGCTGTGGCAATGTCTTAAAATAAGTCAGCAGTGAAGATAGCTACAATGATTAAGTTTTCCTTCATAAAAGATTACTCTGTACATGCAATTACCCACTGTAGAACTTCTTTCAAAATTGTAGCCAATCCTTTCAAACCCTGCCACTGCTTTATCACTGAGTGTATGTTATATTTTAAATTTTTTGTTATTTTAACAATGTACACAACATCTTTGCTGGAGTAGAATCTGTCTTAAGGAACCACTTTCTTTGCTTACCCATAAGAAGCAACTCCTCATCTACTCAAGGAACTGGGATTGTAGGCACCCACCACCATACCTAGCTAAATTTTTTTGTATTTTTAGTACAGATGGGGTTTCACTACATTGGTCAGGCTGGTCTCGAACTCCTGACCTCGTGATCTGCCCACCTTGACCTCCCCAAGTGCTGGGATTACAGGTGTGAGCCACTGTGCCAGGCCCTCAGCCTATCTTTCGAAGCTTTGAGGCCAGCTATTGACTTCTCTCCAGCTGTGAAAGTCCTGGATGGCATCTTCTTTCAATAGTAAGAGTAGTCTATTTTCTCTACATTGAAGGTTGTTGTTGACTGTAGTCACCTTTATCAGTTACTTTAGCTAGGTCTTCTAGATAACTTGCTGCAGCTTCTACATCAGCACTTGGTGCTTTACCTCATACTTTCATGTTATGGAAATGACCTCTTTCCTTTAACCGCATGAACTAGCCTCTGACTTTTCTTCTGAAGCTCCGTTACCGTTCTCAACCTTCATAGACTTGAAGAGAACTAGGGCCTTGCCCTGGATCAGGCTTTGGCTTAAGGGAATGTTGTGGCTGGTTGATCTTCTATCCAGACCACTCATTTTTTCCACATCAACAATAAGGCTGTTTTACTTTTTTTATCATTTGTATGTTCACTAGAATAGCACTTTTAATTAAAAGTGCTCAAGAATTTTTCACTGGCATCCACAAGTTGGCGTTTTGCACAAGAGGCCTAGTTTTTGGACTGATTCTCACTGTCACTCAGGCTGGAGTATAGTGGCATGATCAGGGCTCACTGTAGCTTCTGCCTCCTGGACTCAAGCGATTCTTCCACCTCAGCCCCTCAGGTAGCTCAGTCCACAGGTGTGCACTACCACACCTTGCTGATTTTTGTATTTTTAGTAGACATGGGGTTTTGCCATGTTGCTGAGACTGGTTGTGAACTCCTGGGCTTAAGTAATCTGCCTGCCTTTGCCTCCCAAAATGTTCGGATTACAGACATGAGCCATTGCACCCAGCCAAACTTCCAATTATTTTAATGTGTCTTTTGCAACTTACCTATGTAATTCTAAATAACATACTTATATTTCTTGATTTTTCAACTTTAGACATTATTGATTTCTTTCTGTGTTATATTTAGATATAACTGTTTTACTCATCTTCCCCCCGACCCTCCTGATATAATTATGTCACAACTTTTAATTTCAGCTTTCTGATTGAATCTCTGTTGAATCAGTATTAATATTATTATGACTATGTAGATATGCATTGCTAAGCTGTGGATTGTACTTGTGTGTATCAGTCAGCTTTTGCTGCAGCACAAACAGCCCCCAAATTTCAGTTGCTTAAAGCAACAAACATTTGTTTTTTTGCTTATATCACTGTCTCATGAGATGAGTGACACCATCTCATTTATATATTCTTACAATGCACTTACTTGATTTCTTGCTTTGTATTAATTTGATATTTCAAAAGGATTTTGGATCAGTTGAGACAGTCCATATATTTTAGCTGCTTTTATTATTCTTAATAGTATGAGTGAAGACTGATGATAATATAACAAAGAAATGAATAAGCCACTTTTCAAAGTCACGGTTTTTTCACTGGAAGTATCTTGTGTGTACAGTATGATGGCTGTTAATATTTATCTTTCAAATAACACATACTTTATACAATGCATGTGATAGTTTACAGAGTACTGTCACTTACTACTTTATTATCTTTACAACAGTTCTCTAAGGCAGACATTGTCGTCATTTTACAGACAGGAACTGAAGTTCAGAGACCAGTATTTACTTGCTCAAATGCATATAACTGCTAAGTAGAAGCCAGGTCTGGGGGAGTGTCCTTCCTACCACTAGATTTTATAAGGATAAATTAAAAGAAGAAGTATAAGCAGTTGTCCTTTGGCCTTCCTTGTGTTATGCTCTGATTTGCAATAATTTCTTTTATAAAATGTTGCTAAAAGGCAAATCCACATGTGACCTTCACAAAGATCATTGGATGGACAACAGTGATGGGGTGGAATAAGTGCCTAGAATACAGATAGCTTACACTAAATAACACATATTTTGTGTTTGAAAAGGAAATGTATTGCTTCTGCCATTTCGTTACTTTGATGTAGTGCTGCTTTCCAGACCTTCCAGTTTGTTACCCATGCAGCTACCTTTACCCTCAGCCTGCCAGAACATTGTGTTTCATGAACAGATGAAGTGCTTACACATTCATAGACTGAGACGCCAAGAATTCAGTTGGGTTCTCTCATTGCTCCAAGCAGATTTCTGCCCTCTCAGCCATGACAGCTCAGGTCGGGCTTTGAATACTGATGGCAAACCTTTTATTATTAATCAGGGATTTATATGAATTAATTTAAGAACATAAGGGAGGTGGGAACTTAAAATGAAAATCAAACTTAACATCCCAAAATAAATAGTACTGCTTCATCACATTTAAAGCTCTAGCAAATAAAACAATTTGGTAAGCCTTGATGATGGACTAGAAGTGTGTATCCTCAAAATTAAAGTTCTAGTTAAATATTTTCAACCCTTTTTGTCCTTTTGACATTTTCTTATTATAAGCTGGGTAACAATTAGAGTTTCGAAAGGACATTCAGTTCTTTTTTCTATTTATCTGGTATTTGAACTGGTGGTATTTCCCTATTGATTCCCTAGGATTCTCTGAGATAGTATACACTTTTACTAAAAATGTTGATTCAGCGGGCTCAACCTAATTTTATGACTGAAAATCACGTTTATTGCATTTAAAATTTGCTGTGAGCACATAAAGAAATTTAATTATAATAATAAAATGATAAACTACATTTGTATTCCCACACATTGAAATAAATACATATATTATTAACCGATAACTATGAATTTATAATTTATAATTTGTTACATTATCTGAAATACATACATTTGGATCTAAGTATTGTAGTATATGAGCAAATATATATGAAATGCCTTTTAAATGTATTTCATAATGAAGTTATTTTCTCGTGCATGAGTGTAATTCCTAGAGTACCTCCTTTTTTTTTTTTTTTTTATTTTTTTTTGGTAGTTTTGCTCTTGTTACCC